TCTCTCTCTCTCTCTCTGTCTCTCTCTCTCTCTCTCTGTGTCTCTCTCTCTGTCTCTCTCTCTTCCTGTCTCTCTCTCTCTGTCTCTCTCTCTGTCTCTCTCTCTCTCTCTCTCTCCCAATCAATCCTGCTCTCTGTTTCGTGTGATTTCTCGATTTACGCCCTTTTCGAACTCTCCAACTAGCGGCCTGGGTGAGCCGAGTCTCTGCGCTGAGAATTGTTCTTTGGACCCTCTATCCGTCGACAGTTTGTGGTATCGCTGGGCTGTGTAGAGTATCTAGCTGCCACGTGTTGTGTTAAATCGCTTGTTTTCCTGTGTCCGTGCAGGGACTTTTCGTGAACCCTATATGATTGATTCAAAACGAAAACCAGTTGTGCTGCTGGTTTCGACTGTCTGCATATTCATCCATTACACATGGTTGAAATTGTGTTTATGACGACACCAAGGACGCACGTCGTCACTGAATCACTGCTGCCTCGTGCTGACGACAATTCTCCTTATCCTGTTAGTTCGGCAGTGCGTTCTTGAAGTTATCGATCAACTAAGACGTGACTGGTCTTATTTGTGAGCAGAAATCTTGCATTACTAAGCACAGTCGGAGAATCTCTTTTATTTGTTTTATTTTTCTTTTCTTACACAAAAGAAAACTCTATAAGAATTCTCTTTTGCCGTACGGCATTATGAAGGGGGAGACAAGAAAAGGCAAGAGTAAATCGAGGTCCCTGGTTTCTTATCTTGCATTCTTTTTTTTTTTTTTGACCATTTCTCGCTTTGTGCGATTCATCCTTGCGCAGCGGCCATGCCATCGTTCCAATTTTGACGGATATTCCAAAGGGCGCGTTGTGATTGGCATCAAAATACTAGCGGACTTAGCCTGACAGACTACTAGACTCGCACGGAAATTGACAGCATACACGGATCAAGTCAGAGTGATATTCCCGCTGCGCGAATCAGGTTGACATGCATCGTGGTGACACTCCCTATACGCGTCAAAAATTAGCAGCGAGGTAACTTGAGTGATTAAGCAGAAGATCCTATTAGAGAACCTGTGACAGATCGATCGTGCGTCATATGCGTGGCTGGCTCGCCATTACGTGCCTCACGGCCCTCACAGGGGACCTGATGAGTCCTCGTAAGACGGAAAACAAGAGGGAAGAGTAGCGAGTGCTTGTATCATTTCTAAGGCTCGAAAGATCACAAGGCGGGAAACCAGCAACGGAATCATTACCGTCTTGCCTCGTACACAACGCAACGCGCCCGTGTAATGAACGCATACAGGTTTGTTTTCCGGTCCTGCACTGTCCTCATGAGGCACGCTGTGATTGGCAGAAGCCGCACACGCATTGCGAGGCACTGGGTCCTGGACAGGTTGTACTGCGAACAACTACCATGCCAGGTGGAGAACCCAGGTTCAGGAGGTTAACACAACTTACCAGGTACAGCAAAAAGCGAACCGAATACAGGCAGGCTTCAGGATCAGAGAGAAAGGTACACGCAAAAGAGGGGATTAGGCAGAGGGAGGAAATAACAAAGAGAGGGGGTACCAGATACAGAAAATGAGATAATGGATAAAGGTCTAAGGCGGAGAGAATGACGAGTCCATGAATGGTAGACCTTTTGCAGCTGGTGACACACACACACGCACGCACACACACACACACCCACAAACACACAAACAAAAAAAAAAAAAAAAAAAAAAAAAACTTTTTTATTTCGTTTCTTTTTCCTTACAATACTTGTTTGTTTTTTATATTTTTTAAAACTAAAAAGCACTTCTTAATCTAAAACAAAAAATATAGGGTTGTAGGGATTTTCAAACCCTACAACCCCATGTGTTTTTGTTTTTTCTGGGTCCATTAATTTTGTTTTTAAAAATATGCCAAATTCTCAAATGCGCCCAACCGCTGGGGCCGTGGCCTGCGGTCGGGATCCGTCATCCAGGTTTGACCCCGCGGTCGTGACAGCCGGGATTCAGAGATACAGAGAGAGAGAGGGAGAGACTGATCTCTCTCTCTCTCTCTCTCTCTCTCTCTCTCTCTCTCTCTCTCTCTCTCTGTCTGCTGCCCGTGTGTTTCTAATGTGCGAACAGCAAATGAATCTTCCCGCGTGCACGGAAAGATTCGAGAACAGTGCACCGCACG